CAGGGGGAAATAATTGACGTGTAAATGTGCATTGGTGAGCTTAAATTTGCCCAAAGCCCGCTAACAACTTGTTGAGTGCGTCGAATTTTTTTGTTTTTGTATTAATGATAATAAGTAAGTAAAGTAAAGGACCCTTTCCACGCCTTTAGGCATATAGGGCTAGACCTATATTTTTATAGACCAACGGCACAAGATGGGTGATGTGGTCAGCATCACGCCGGCTGCCTCTACTTCCCGGGATTGCACCCGGTACCCACTCAAGGCTGGGTCGACCTGGGAGCCAAGGTCATTGAAGAAAAGTCCGTCTCCGCCAGGGAGCGAACCCACGACCTTCCGATCCGCGGCGCGCGTCTAACCGCTCTGCCACGGCGACTTCCATTAATGATAATAGATAGTGGTTTCTCCGCGTGTGGGTTTCCGCGACCCCTTTGTTGAGAGAACAAGAATAGACCCACTACCTCCCCAACAAGCATGTCGTAAGACTCGACTAATTGGGAGCTTCATGAATATGAGAAAGTCTGTCAGCGTGATATATTTAGTACGAATACGAGAAAATGTATCATCTTAGGTGTGTAAGAATACGAAAAATTATCTTCTGTGTATGAATTCTGAGGCGTTTGTCAGTGTGTGTAACATTACAAGAAAATGTAGCAACATCTAGTTTGAGGTTTTAAACAACGGATCAACACCAGGACACACGGGTAGTAACCCATAGGTGATCCGTTCTACTCCTTAGTCAAGTCTGAGTCTGAAGTAGCTCAGCGCAGTGCACGTGCTCCGTAGCACCGGCGAGGATCCTGAAAAACTTTGGTAGATTTTTAACTTTAAATGTTGCCCGGGCAGCGCCGTTCGGATACTCTTTTCAATTTCCAACTGCCGAGGGATTTTTGAGTGCTCAACAATACACACGGGCGTCTGATCTCACTACCCAGAGACCAGGGGAAATTACTAGAACTCCACGTGAACAGAAAAAATCCCAGCCCTTACTGGGGATTGAACCCGGAACCTCTAGCACTCGAGGCGGACACCATGCCTCGAGACACCTAGTATCTTCGGTATGTTAATGTTAGAAAATGTAGAACTGTTTTCCAGATGGAAGAAATCAGACAATATATCGATATGTTCAATATTGCAAGACAGTGCAGAAATGTCTTCGTTATGCTAACAGAATAAAATCTCACCATATTTTAAATACACGAATATCTGCACGCGCAGACAGACACCACTCGCCTTCGTTAGCAAGCTCCCGATAAACATTCACAATTTTTGCGTCAGTTCAAGCTTGAACTCATAGAAATTACCATCACTTCAATCGATGGAGTGCTGTCTTCTGATGAATGGGGGACGCGGGGAAGGTGAGCCTAATGAATCATCAGTGAGACAACCAAGATGACAGAGATATTGATTTTTGTTTAGTCCAGGCAACGCCAGCCCACCCCAATCTTTCCAACACTGTCTAGTAAATTGTGTGTGTGTGTGTGTGCGCGCGCGCGTGCGTGTGTTTTGTGTATGTGTGTGTTTTTGGCGGGGCCAAACTACAGACTGACGGAGTGAGTGGTGTCTTGTGATGGATTCTGTGGTTGAAGCCATCTATCATTTGCATTATACGTACATGTTTGCATGCCAATGGAAGTGACGCACCGACTCGCAAATTCTCGGTCTGTCTATTAATATTTGAAATATTTTCTTTCTTTCTCTGTCTTTCTTTTTTTTTTCCTGTCTGTTTGTCTGTTCTTTCTTTCTTTCTTTCATTCATTCGTTTTGTCTGTCTTTTTCTTTCTTTCTTTATTTATTTCATTCTTTCTTTCTTACTTTTTTTTTTCTCTTTCTGTCTGTCTTCTGCCTTTCCTTCTTTTCTTTGTAACCTTACTTCTTTCTCAATTTTTACTTCTCCTTTTCCTGTTGGAGCACTTATTTCTACTCAATGCTTTGATAGGTAATCATCATCATCATTACCAAACTCTGCAGAACGTCGCTCTCATTGCCGCCTGCTCGTTTCTTGCCATTTCCCTCGCCTCATACATTTGTAACACCCATCTTGCTTTCCATTCCTGTTCTGTCTAAATCATGTTAAGTCTATCGTTGCCAGTGCACCTCATTTTTCGAAACCTATTGCTGTTAATACGCCATTTTCTTCTATGTTCAGATTTTGTGGAAAGTCAGTATTTTTCATTTTCTTCATCTAGATTTTTTAAAGACTGTTTATGTGGCGTTTCAGTTCTTCTTTGCGTTCGGTTTCGTACGCTCGAGTTAAATTGTTTGGTGGGATGTCTCTAGGAATTCACATGTCAGTGCAACAGGTCCCTCATGCTTTTCTCATCCCCCCTCCACCCCCTCCTCCACCCCCTATCCACCCCCTCCTCCACCACCCCCTCCCCCCCAGCCTGCTCTGCACACGTCTTCAGATCAGGTTTTACTTCATTGTTGTAATTTTGGTAGGCAGGCCTCAAAGCCCCTGTTTTGTTTCGTTACTGATAAGCGTGTCTTTGATCTCTTTGTTGTATAAGAAACGATGCTTGTCCTTCATATTTTAATTTAAATTAGTTTGCTAGTATTGTTTCAAAGACTTATGTAGTTTAACTTCTAAACTCTTGTAATGCTGCATCTCTGTAGTCTTTGAATGGCGTTTTTCTGTATTCTGTTAATGATGTATCTCTTTATTGTTTTAAAGCCATTCAACTTCTTAACCTATTTAGACTTTTAACACTTTTCAATAGATTTTTAATGCCTTTTAATATGTGAAGACCTTTAAAGCATTTTAACCCTCTGAAGTTTTTAAAAATACTATTCAACTTTTAGATATTTAATACCATATTTCTGTAGACTTTTTGTGAAGTAGGCCTATATCTGTATTATTTTAATACCATTAAACCTCTGCAGACTATTACTGCTTTTCATTTAACCTCTGTATTGTTATGGCCAGTCTCCAACGTTATGGAAGCACCTGAAGCTAATATGTGCGAAACCGGAAAAATCCGTAGGGTTAGAATGAAGGTGCATAGACGATGAGTTAAAAGCCTGTATACTGAATAAATCAGTAACACATAAGGCTTTGGAACCTGCAGACAAACAATGCCGTATGTGAACATTTGCAGAAAATGCACAAAATATCCGTCATCATGCACATGTTTGGCATATGATAGCCATGTTGAGTCGTGTCTTGCAAGCTTCGTGTTTTACATATTTCAACTTTTTGTTTTTCTGTGGCCTCCCTGCTTTCATTCACTGTCAGATGTCAGGGGGAAAAAAGGCGTTGGGAATCACGCGAAGAATAATTTATGTTGCATTCTCAGTTTCTTTTTAAGCTGGACTCCCAGAAATGCAGGGCTAGCCTGTGAACTAGGGCTTGGGGGAAAAAAAAAACCAAAAACATTATCTGCTCACGCAGACTCGGTTTTATTTGATGAGAAAACATAGACATGGCATTGGCTTGCCGTCAGTCTAACCTCGTTCCCGCCACTGACAGACGGGTCGCTGATTGTGTGTCTAAATGTCTATGAATGTTTCAACCAGGGTTGCCATATTAGCGTTTTTGATACCAGATTCCACAAATTTGGCATATTTGAAATTGAACTGACATAAGACAATGAACTTGCATCTTTTGACATATCTGAGTTTTTCCTGGCTTTTCTTATCAAGATGTGCTTACATTTCCTTCATCTTTCCTCCGTTAGAAACACGCAGATTTACTAAAAGCATTTAGACCTACAGTTAACATCTTTATTTCAGTTTGACATTGTTGTGATGTCCTGGTACGAACTAACGGAGTTTCGCACCATTTCTTACCGTTTTTGTTGTCTTATTAAACGGATCGTGATTTCGATAAACCAAGGTCCTCTGTAGTTTATGTTAATCTACTAGAATAAATGCTGGACATAAAACCAAACCCCACCACTGATGCCAAGTGATTCAGACTGTTCAGAAACTACTTGAGGACAGAAAATAGAGAAGATATTTACCTAGTTCTATCTGTGAGAGATATTATTACTTTTACTAATCCTACGTCATCCCCAAAAACAATGGAAAGCGTCTTATGACATCGCAAGTATAATAGTAACTGGAAGAAACATACACACGGCTCAAAAGATCTTCTGTAAACTGTGTCAGTGCACTGTTGTACTAAGAATTAGTAGCATATCAAATCATGAAAAATCTAAAAACAAACAGGATGAAAACTCTGTCAAAAAGCCAGTTACAGCATATTACAACAATGACACCTAGGCAAAGTAATGATAAAGAGTTGCAATTTGCTGTAGGCATAACCTGCCATTGTGCAATATGCACAATTGACCATCTAAGTGAAATCATGAGAGCGCATGGTCGGGGAAGTAAACTGAAGCACACACAGTTGCATATAACTAAATGTTCATGCCTAATAAAAAAAATACGTTATCGCCTGCACTTAAGGATGACCTTATTGATTTTCGGAACAAGAAATATGTCATCAGTATAGATGAGTTGCAAGACTTCATCCCATCTGAGAAAATGCTTAAAGATTTTACATCCGAAAAGGTTTACGCTGTGTCTTCCACTTGTTCCAGCGAGGATGACAGTAAATAATTTAATCTAGAGCTTTTGATGTGAAGCGATTTTACACTTTATTTGGCATATTCTGGCATATTTTGGGTAATGGTTTGGCATATAATGAAGTTTTTTATCTGGCAACCCTGGTTTCAACGTGTAATCAGAAGTGGGTCCAGCAAAGAGGGACGAATGAGAGGAAAAAACAAAAGTGTGAAAAATCAACGTGCTGAAGGGAAATGTTAGCATCTACACCTGAAGGCATTTTCTGCGGGAGACGGAGCATCTATGGGTATGCCCGATGTGCTATGATGTCTTCTGTTAGCATTCGTTCATGTTGATACAAAGAAATGACTCCAATGAACACAAGCTATGCATGGAAAGTGGGACTGAGGGGACACAACTGAACGTTTCCACCAGTCTAAAGCAAGGAATACTTCAATCAGATTGTTTCCCCTCATTTTCCTTTACATTTGCAGAAATTCAAAGGCAACAGAAATGTCTATCTGGCTGACATGAGAGAAGTGGATCCACCAATCATTGCCAAGAGAATACGGTTTATTCCCTACAGTGAGAGTCCCCGGACCGTCTGTATGAGGGTGGAGATGTACGGGTGTACATGGAATGGTAAGTGATACTGTCTGTATGAGGGTGGAGATGTACGGGTGTACATGGAATGGTAAGTGATACTGTCTGTATAAGGGTGGAGATGTACGGGTGTACATGGAATGGTAAGGGATACTGTCTGTATGAGGGTGGAGATGTACGGGTGTACATGGAATGGTAAGTGATACTGTCTGTATGAGGGTGGAGATGTACGGGTGTACATGGAATGGTAAGTGATACTGTCTGTATATGAGATGCGTGGAGATGTACGGGTGTACATGGAATGGTGGTAAGGGATACTGTCTGTATGAGGGTGGAGATGTACGGGTGTACATGGAATGGTAAGTGATACTGTCTGTATGAGGGTGGAGATGTACGGGTGTACATGGAATGGTAAGGGATACTGTCTGTATGAGGGTGGAGATGTACGGGTGCGTATAGAATAGTAAGTGAGACTGTCTGTATGAGGGTGGAGATGTACGGGTGCGTATAGAATAGTAAGTGATACTGTCTGTATGAGGGTGGAGATGTACGGGTGCGTATAGAATAGTAAGTGAGACTGTCTGTATGAGGGTGGAGATGTACGGGTTTGCCTGGAATGTTAATTGGTACTGTCTGTATGAGGGTGGAGATCTAGGGTGTACATGGAATGGTAAGTGATACTGTCTGTACACGGCCAAGGTTCCCTATAGTAGTCTGTATGTGGAAGGAGATCCACAGGTGTACATAGAGTGGTAAGTGGTACGGTCTGTATGAGGGTGGAGATGCACTGGTGTACATGGAATAGTAAGTGATACTGTCTGTACACAGCAGACTATAGGGTTCCCTATAGTAGTCTGTATGAGGGAGGAGATGTACGGGTGTACATAGAATGGTAAGTTGTATAGAAGTAAACATAAAGGGAATGGTAAGTCATATTGTCTTCATGGAAGTGTGAGATATATGTTTTAGTATTGGTTAATTAAGTGGAATTGTCTGGACAACTACTGGTTTCTAGAGTTATAAGACAAAGAAGATGGCTTTATACTGGGTACATCCTGGAAAGAAACAGACAGAGTATCACTAAACAGGCCCCTCGTGCCAGGTTAACAAGCATATAGTAAAAGGTGACTATACTGCGTTAACAAACTGGTGCCGATGTTTAAAATAAATCATACCTCAGCTGTAGTCAAATATAAATTGACGAAATTATATATAAATATTTACTTCATTCTGTCTTATATCAGACACCCCCAGCTCCCACCCCCTCCCCAATAACTAGTAATTAAAATGCAATTTTGCATATTCGAGGTATATACGTATACAATGATCCTTGCTGGATTGTCTTCTGAGAGTTATACAGTACAAAATTCAAATTTGAAATTTTACAAAAGCACGTGTTTTTTGGGTTTTGTAAAAATTCTAAATAGGATATGACCACAACTGTTAAGGTAAAATTTTCGCAACGTGCTATAAAATGAGCCTGCTAGATCGTTTCCTGGATACGTGACAAGTTAGTTGTAAAAGTATAACTTATGTTGTTAGGGTTAGAGTAATTAACATCATTACTGTATAATTTGTTTTTTTTTACCTAACTAAAATTTGTCAAGTGATGCACACAAAAGAAAGGAAACGTCTGTTTATGTACAGCTGGGAGTCTAAATATCATTTATGTTTAAAATAATTACGTCGAGATGACAATAATAGCCCTTGCACCAATTAGCAAATGCACTATAATTAAGTGTTCCTGAAATCAGATGTGTTAGGCCGAAACATATTCAGATCCATTCATCATGTAGCAGGTCCTTTGCAGAACGTCGCTCTTATCACAGTCTGCCTGAAAGAAACTCGGTCTCTCGCCAGTTCTCCCGCCTCAAGTACTTTCATACACAAGGAGTTACTTATATCCTGTGCCCTCTTCGTGTTGGTCGGCCCCTGCCCCTCCTTCCTGGTACCATGCCTTCTGCTATAGTTTTTTCCAATCTGTTGTGCCGCATGATATGACCAAAATATTTCAGCTTCCGAGACAGAATGCTGTTTATTAGCCAATCTTTCTTGATGTTCAGATCTTTCAAGATGTCAGTATTTCTCCTCTTCTTTGTCAAAGATATTCTGAGAATCTTTTTAAAGCATTTCAGCTCAAAAGCCCCTATTCTCTTTCTTAAGGACTGAGAGATAGTCCACAACTCACATCCGTATGTAGCCACAGGAAAGATGCATGCTCTCAAAATTCTAATTTTGATCTCCTCAGATCTGTCTTACTATAAATCCCAACGCAATGTACCAACCAGCATTTTAAGAGTGATTGATAAAGAGAAGAGGAATTTGTTTTGAAAACTAAATAAAGATTATGCTATGTTATCACAATCCACGTCACGGCATATTAGGCATTCTCATGAGTGCTCAGTCCTGTGATGCAACAGCCACGCCAAGGTACTTGTACTAATTGTTCCCATGAGATGTTGGTCATAATGTCTTCTATCTCGGTCTCGAAGGCAGCATAGACATGCTTCACCATGCTTTACTCCCATGTCACACAATCATATTAGTGTCAGAAATTCGTCATTATCCACTAGCCCAGTGAGAACTACAATACCACAGTACAGTAAATTTCTCCTCAAAGTGGTAATATCTTTTTATCTAAATATTATTTTGATCAATTTCAGATCCATGTTTTTTGTTTTTTTTAAACAGATTCTCTTGTGTCCTACTCAATGCCACAAGGTCATCGTCGTGGAGCTGAAGTTGACCTTTTCGATTTCACTTATGATGGGACTATTGAGGTATGATTTTGAAAACTCAGAAATATCAACTTTGAATATCCATCTATAAAGTAACAAAAGACAAAACAATGGTCAGAAAGCTTATTTGAGGGAAAGGAAAAGATATACACATATAGACCTACTTGTTTCAACCAGGGTCTTCATCAGCGGACAAAATGACAAACTAATTAAACAGCCAACAAGATAGAAACGTGAACATAAAAAGAGAAAATTTAGAAAGGGAGGGTTATTATGAATGGAAACTAACAAACAAAAGAAAAGGAAAAGGAAGGATCAAATGTCACAGTTGAATAAATAAATATTAGATAATGGTATACCGACTTTTTAACTTTACTGGGCTAAGAACGATAAAGTTATTTATACAGAAATTCTTCAAGGAGAGATGACTGGAGTGTTATCTATTTCTAAACATGTCTCAAGGAGTTAATTTAAAGTTGTAAAATAAAATATACACTCTGTTTCAGGATAAGTACCTGCGAGATGGCCTGGGACAGCTGACGGATGGAGATGTTGGGGAGACAAACTTTCGACTCGACACTAAGAAGATGGGCATCAAAGGATACGAATGGGTCGGCTGGAAAAACGATTCCTTGACCAACGATCCAATTTCCATTTTATTCAAGTTTGATTCTGTTCGAAATTTTTCTCAAGTATGTTTTTGTATTTGTTGATTCATTTGTAATTTGTGCATTCCGAAAGTATATTATTCAGCTGTGTTTCAAGCCATAAAGCCTATTGGATGAAAGGTGATATCCCTACTTTTTTTTAGACTAATGAGCATTGACCCTTTGCAGTCAATAGGAGGCTCGCTTTCAAATCCAGCTGCGACTCGCTACAGCCACGGTCAGTGTTCGAAACCGGGCAGTTCCCGGGGTTCACCCAGCCTCTAGGAAACGGGTACCAGAGTTGACACTCTGGGGTTTATAACCTGTACAATGATGCTGGTTTACATCTACCGACTTTACCTTTACCTTTACCAGAAATGTTTTTTAGCACCTATTATAGACTAACCATCTGTAGGAATTACCACAACCCACAGATTAATGAAGAGTTTTATTTTCGAGTTTATTTCTTTTGGATTTCTTTAGTCTATGTAGTCAATTTCACTCTGTGCGTGTGGTCTTTGTTAGTCTATGTAGTCAGTTTCACTCTGTGCATGTGGTCTTTGTTAGTCTATGTAGTCAGTTTCTCTCTGTGCGTGTGGTCTTTGTTAGTCTATGTAGTCAGTTTCTCTCTGTGCGTGTGGTCTTTGTTAGTCTATGTAGTCAGTTTCACTCTGTGCATGTGGTCTTTGTTAGTCTATGTAGTCAGTTTCTCTCTGTGCGTGTGGTCTTTGTTAGTCTATGTAGTCAGTTTCTCTCTGTGCGTGTGGTCTTTGTTAGTCTATGTAGTCAGTTTCACTCTGTGCATGTGGTCTTTGTTAGTCTATGTAGTCAGTTTCACTCTGTGCATGTGGTCTTTGTTAGTCTATGTAGTCAGTTTCTCTCTGTGCGTGTGGTCTTTGTTAGTCTATGTAGTCAGTTTCACTCTGTGCATGTGGTCTTTGTTAGTCTATGTAGTCAGTTTCTCTCTGTGCGTGTGGTCTTTGTTAGTCTATGTAGTCAGTTTCACTCTGTGCATGTGGTCTTTGTTAGTCTATGTAGTCACAGTTTCACTCTGTGCATGTGGTCTTTGTTAGTCTATGTAGTCAGTTTCACTCTGTGCATGTGGTCTTTGTTAGTCTATGTAGTCAGTTTCACTCTGTGCATGTGGTCTTTGTTAGTCTATGTAGTCAGTTTCACTCTGTGCATGTGGTCTTTGTTATTCTATGTAGTCAGTTTCTCTCTGTGCATGTGGTCTTTGTTAGTCTATGTAGTCAGTTTCACTCTGTGCGCGTGGTCTTTGTTAGTCCATGTAAGTATGTAGTCAGTTTCACTCTGTCTTTTGTCTTTATCTCTCTCTCTCACTCCCTCCCTCTCCCTCCTTTCCTCTCAATCTCTCTCTCTCTCTTTGAAAAAAGGGATGAATGCAGAAGAAGATTTATATTCACTCTTTTTTTATAGAGCTATATTCTCATTAATGTATTTTCTTTGTTTCGAATATCACCAGGTGGTCATACATTCCAACAATCACTACACCAAGGATGTGCGCATTTTTCGACATGCAGAAATCTTCTACAGCATCGGGGGCCTGTACTTTCCCCCTCAAAGCACCAAAGTCAACTTTCAGCAGGACGACTACTTTGAGAATGCTCGACCAGTTTTCCTGAGAATGCAAAATAAAATTGGAAGATACGTGCGAATTGATCTGTACTTTCAGGCAAAATGGATCATGATTAGCGAGGTTTCCTTCACTTCAAGTGAGTTTATCATTATGTCTTATTTTTTTCCCGTTGTGTATACCATGGCTCAATTGTGTGTGTGTATGCATGCATGTTTGTGTGTGGAAAGAGGGGAGGGGTATTTTAAAAAAAGCTTCTAACTTTAGATGTTTTTTCTTCAGATTGTGCGTCTTCCTGAGAGTCAGTAAACCAACAGCTTGCATACCCCAAAAAAAAAAGCCAAATCTGTAAAAATGGATGTGCAAACAAAACTCATTTTTTGGAACAAGATCAAAGTCCAGCTGATTCTGCCCTTTAATACAGCGAAATATGCAAGGCAGTAACTTGTGCAGTCTGTCTTTTTTGTCCTTTTTGTTCCGATTCACACTGGGAAACAGCATTGATTTCATCATAAGTCAACCAACTAGCCTATCAGGGAAGCAGACAAGCAGTCAATAAATTGGCCAGTCAGTCAGATGTGTCTGTGTGTAAGAACTGTTATTAAATTCCTTCTTCTTCATCTTCTTCACGTCTACCAGCTGTAAACTCTAGAAGAAAGTTCTGGTTATTCATTCATCTTTGGACTTTAGTTATGTTCCAGAACCTTAGTGTTGTGTGTACATCTGTTTCCACACATCTGGCTTATTTGTATGCAGACTCTTGGTTCCCCACCTCTCAGGCAGATGTACTCCATCTTTGAAGGATGACCCCTATTTGTCAACTCCTAGGACATGCTTGTTGGGGAGGCAGTGGGTGTATTCTTGTTTTCCCCCACAGCTGGTCCCTGGAACCCACACAGAGAGAATTGCTTTTTAACTTTTTTCATTTTGTATCTTTTGACAGCTGAAGCAGTTGGTAACTTCACAGAGGAGATACCGCCTCCAACAACACCAGCCCCGCCGACCACGACCACCATGAAAAAAGAGAGCATCTTCAATGCCTTCAGCGTGGACACTAATGTCAAACCAGACGGCCAGGAAACTGCTGCTGATGCCGGATCTGAGGGAGCAGGAAACTTCGACGTGGGCGGAGATCAACCAGCAGAGGTGGAGCTAGAGGACACTGATGTTGCTAGTGAAGACAAGGTCGATGAAGAGACCAGTAAGACAGTTTAGTTTTATGGATCTGTTTCTTGGTGTGTTTTTTTTTTTTCTATGTTTTCTTTTTTTCAGAGGGAGTTAAAGAAAGATAGCAAAACAGGAATCTTGGTAGCTTTTAGTTTCAGCAACTTCCCCATGGGGGTTCTGGAGCTCCATTCTGGAGAACAAAGAACAGAGCCGCTGACTCCCTAACAAGCCTGCCCTAGGAGGCAACTAACAAGGCATGTTTCCAAAAAAGTCAAAGTGTATCTACCTGAGAGGCAAGAAGCCAACAGTCATACAAATAAACCACATCTGTAAAATGTATATACATGCAAAATTTAAGGTCTGGATCAAAACCAAAGTTGAGAAGTGGATGAACAATCAGAACTTGACCCTACAGTTTACAGCTCGTGAACGCTTAGAAGAATAAGATTTTGACATCATGGAATATAGGGCTTTCTGTGGCTTATTGGTTAAGTAAATTGCCTTACCTAATGAAGGTTGTGGTTCGTGTCACTGACTGTATCATTGTCCGTTCATCACTAGTGATAAAGACCACTCTTTCTTTTATTCATCATGAAACTATATTTGATTATCTGTGAGACCGGAGGTGACTTATAAGCCCAGTATGGGCCTAGAAGGATCTAGGACAATGAGGGACCAAGCTCGCTAGCGTAGTTGGCTGACTTTGTGACGACCGGGTGATGAACTCTTTTGGTTCGGGCTCACTCCCAGATCTAGGCAGAAAAGCCACATTTTCCCCAGATTTACGGTGTTTATCATGGAATTAAGGCCGAAGAGTTGCGATATCTATAGTAGCGAGCCAAAGGATTAAAGAACTCATGGTTTCTGGATAATTAAAAAAACAAAAACAATGGACAATGAGGGCAGAGAATAAGTTCTGTAGATAAGGGGCCTTTTATACACTCCTTTCTAGCCTGCATGTGCTGTTCAGTTGTCCTTTTACTTGAAGCCTGACGGGTAGCTGTTGCTCTTTGGATAGACGTTCGCCACATTGTCAGGTCTTATGCAGCAGGGTCTATATTAAAGACTTTAAATGACGCCTTTATCGTGTCATTTAAGCTTTTTATTTGTGGTACCTTCCTGTATCTCACCATACAAGAATATTTTTGGGAGATGATTGTCTGGCCCAGGTTCAGATCATATTGGCACAGGGACAGAGCATTATGGGGGCAGCCTGTCTGCAGCCATGTTGGAACTTCAGCAAATGACTCAGCTACTAGTCACATTCATCACCACAGTGGACTGAGTTTTCAATGCTTTTTTATGCTACAGTATAATACTATCGTCTGGACAGATGGAGATGTGCTAAAGTAATTTGCTGATCCAACTTGGTTAAGGGGGGGGGGGGGGGGGGGGGGGGAGAGAAGGTTGGGTAAGGTTACTTCCTCCGTAAAAAGTGAGTAATTATGAGATTTTTCTCTAAATTCGAACAGTGTCTACCTAAGCAGTGGGGGACCAACAGTCTGCATCCTAGTAAGCCTGATCTGTAAAGGGGGTGTGTACAGAAAATTAAAGTTCTGGAAGTGGATGAACAACCAGAACTTTGTGCCGCAGCTCACAGCCGGTGAATGCTAAGAAGAAGAAGGCGGACAGATATAGATGTCATAGCCTAACTGTAAATCAGAACACAAAAAGCCAGCAATCCTTTTAAGGGCAAACATAGACAAAGAAGAAGAAACGGAAGAAGAAAAATGTCGAAAGCGTATTAAACTCTTTCTGTTTTATTTTACAGATGGCATTTCCAATTCGCCTGATGTTCCTTTAACTGAGAAGGAGAACAAAGAATACGATGATGAGTACATCAGCATCATCGTTGGGGCACTTGCTGCTCTTATCTTTCTTCTCATCTGTGTCGTCCTCATCTTCTTTTGCCGACACAAGAGAAGGAAAAACAATAACAATAGAAACAGCCACAAACCTGTTAATGGCAGCCATATTACCATAAATCTAAATGACCTTCGAACAGCAACGAATGGCAAAGTATCTAACGGCAACATGTACAACAGTATTGCAACAGACGAGGCGGATTCCGATCGAGAAGCTGGTGGTTGTTGCAACAGTGCAGGAGCAGGAAGTGAAAAATTTGCATGTAAGTGACACATTTAGCTCATTCTACACCAAGAAAAATACTATAGTTTTTATTGGTTTTTACCTATAGTATTTACTTTGTCGGCATCTCTAGTTTATGCAGTGAGAATCTGTTTTGTTATGTTGGAGTACTGGGTTTGATCCCAGCTGCAGGCAGTTTGGCAGCAGACCCTCTTGTGTTGATTTTGACAGTGGTATCGAGAGACGACCACATTGCCCACTGAGTGTCAATTGGTGTCTAATATGAGGCCACCCCCCCCCCCCCCCCCCCCCACTAGAACTAGACGACAGCCAGAACTTTCCACCAGAGTTTACAATGGTGAACAAATAAAACAAGAGGGACCACCATCATAGTAGACACAGAATACCAAGGATACTCTAGGCATGAAACTTCATGAGGTGGGAAAGTTGGTAAGGGAATCAACAGCTTTCTAGCATACTGGTACCCATTTAAGGCTGGGAGCCAAAGTCATTTTTGAAGAAAATTCCAGCACCATTCAGATTTGAACCCCTGACTTTCGGATCTGCAGGTGAGCATCTAGCCACAACATATTTGAGAGTAATCACAGATAGAAAACACATACGAAGCCCAGGATACAGTTGAGGGATACACACGGATAAGAGTATATTCCCCAGGCTGTATAGCAGCTGACAACATAAGTTCTGTTTTGGTTAATCATCTTCTTTCTTGTCTGACTCCAACTTTTTTTTTCACTAATAGAAATTTAAATTTTTTATTATATTTATTATACTTTTATGCAAAGGTAAACAATACAGATGATGTGGATTAACAGCTTGAGCAGTAGACATGCAAAACAATGTTCAAATCTGAAACAGTAATGCATCATTCTCAAGTTCCCATGCAATGAACATTTCAGAGATTACTCAGAAATGAACTGCCTGGGTTCATTCTTTGTTAGCACTTTTTAATCTTTCCAGAGGATAATTTTGTATTGTGCCGTAGGGAAGCATGGGAATCATAACCCCATGGCAACAGTGAGTGTAATCAGCAAGGCCCTATCTCATTAAGAAAAGTTACACACCTTCTACCTGTAAAGCAGGTATATTGTTGTCAAAGCATGCATTTGTTATGCTTCTTTTCAGATGCCCAGTTCATTACCTATCTACTATCATTTTATCTTTCATCGCTGTTGCCTTCCCGATTTCCCCCCTCCATGCAAAATGGTCTGTTGGTGCATGGTTGGTAACTGAGAGTTTTAAGGTTTGACATGAAGGATAAGGGATTCACGATGGTGTAGCGGCTAGTCAGTCGCCTAGAAAAGTGACCTTTACTTACTTTTATTGATTATTTATTATCTTGCCCTACTTTGAATTAGGGCTAAGGCGTTGCGAGTCCGACTCGTAAGCCAGGATACCGCGATCGAAACCCACTGCAGGCTGCGTGGATTTGTGTCGTGGTATGGGGACGTCGCAGGTCGACCCAGCCTAAAATGGGTACCTGGATGGGCTGTCCTGGGAAAGTAAAGACAGCCGGCGTAATGCTGACCACATTACCCACTGAGTGCTGATGGTCTGTAAAAATATGGGACGCTCTGCACATATGCCCGATGCATTGAAAGGCGTGAAAAGGGATCTTTACTTTTTTTACTTTTTTTACCTGCTTTGAATTAAGTAAAAGATATATCTGGACAACCACTGATATCAACAGTAATAAACCAAAGACGATGCTACTGTATTTGGCATTACATGAGAATGCACTACTTCATTTTTGGCCCAGGGTATGCTGGTGTAAAAGGCAATTAGAGAGCAGACGCTCTGACTGGCAGTGTGACTATCAGGAATGGGCCATCTATGGACAGGAAAGACATAATCATACCATTTGAGAGACTAAATGCTGTATGGCTGTTCAGTTCTATGGAAATGGGTTTTATTGAATAGACTGCATATCCCAGATGTACCAGTTAGAGCCGTGAGACAGGAAAACCATGCCGGAGCCATCCCTCATTACATCAGCCAGAACAGAATGGGAGTTTTTAGACTAAAAACACTTGGAGACATACTTGGGAGGAGTTCGACATCATGTCTCATGTGCGATGAAGATGATCTTACAATGAACACTGAACAATAAACATGAGAAGAAGCAAGAAGAGAGTCACCAAATAGTCACTCAAATGGGAAAAAAATGGATTGAGGAAGTAAAGATGTTCTAGAAAAACCACAGAACAGATAAACCCTATAAGAAATGTCTATGAGAGAGGGCAAAGTTGCTGGACTGGATTCCGTCCATGCTATTGAAAGGATTGCACTGAATGGAAGAGAAATGAGGAATACACAGCGAATGTCATCTGGCATATAATGGCACAGCGAATGTCATCTGGCATATAATGGCACAGCGAATGTCATCTGGCATATAATGGCACAGCGAATGTCATCTGGCATATAATGGCACAGCGAATGTCATCTGGCATATAATGGCACAGCGAATGTCATCTGGCATATAATAATGGCACAGCGAATGTCATCTGGCATATAATGGCACAGCGAATGTCATCTGGCATATAATGGCACAGCGAATGTCATCTGGCATATAATGGCACAGCGAATGTCATCTGGCATATAATGGCACAGCGAATGTCATCTGGCATATAATGGCACAGCGAATGTCATCTGGCATATAATGGCACAGCGAATGTCATCTGGCATATAATAGCACAGCGAATGTCATCTGGCATATAATGGCACAGCAAATGTCATCTGGCATATAATGGCACAGCAAATGTCATCTGGCATATAATGGCACAGCAGGATTATGATAGTGATGTCTTGCCATGCCTTTTAAATTGTTCATTTATTTATAATTTTTCTGCTACCGTGTGTTTTATTATTATTATTATTTTTTTTAAACTGTGGCATTTAATATGACCAAGGGGTCTGTGTCATGCTCTGAAGGTCATAAGTTTATTTCAAGGCTGCACCATTCAATTCCCAAGTGCAGTTTTAATTGTGATCTCTGCGGATTGTCATCAAACTATGATTTGTAAGCTTTGTTAGACATTCTTGGCAGGCAACTAGTGGTTCTCCGCAGAGAGAGATAGAGCCAAATGGGTTAAACCCAGTGCATTGAAGTTGATTCTGGCAACATGATTAAACCTTTTAACTTTATTTAATTGACCTGAGTATTTATGCTTCTATTACATAACACTGTTTATAAGCCAGTTTTTAAAAATATTTAATGTTATTATTTATTTTTCAATTGTTATGTAAATATATGTTTTCAGGGTCGGAGGTTAGAGATTATGCAGTCCCCGACATTACCAAATCTGCCCTGGTGGTGGACCTGCCGCCCCGAGTATCATCGCCCAATCAAATCACTGGCGGGGACAAACCTCCCAACTATGATGCCCTCTATGCGGCAGCAGACATTGTCAACGTCCATGGCACTAGCATTCCCAGCATGCAAGGTGTCAGTGGAAATAACGTCTACTCTGTACCGAATGCCGAGTTGTTGTGTAGCATTGACTACTCAATAATGGAGCTGCAGAGAGAGGATTTGAGATTTGTTGAGGTTCTGGGTGAAGGACAGTTTGGAGAGGTTGGTGAATATAATCATTTATACTTAACAGGTTCAAAAATGAAACCTAAAGTGCTTGGATTTATATTCAGTATCATCTTCATTATCATATAGCAGGTCCTTTTCAGAACATCGTTCTCAACACGGTCTGACTGGCCTTTCGCCAGGTTTTCCAACTTGTGCTTTTTCATACCAAAGTAGTCACTAATATCCGATGTCAATCTTCAATCTGGTTAGCATCTTCCCCCTCCTTTCTGGCATCAAGCCTTCTGCCATGGTCATTTCCCAGTCCTCTGCGGCACTTAATATAGCCAAAATATTTCAGCGTCTGAGACCAGGTGCTGTTTATTAACCAATCTTCCTTGATATTCAGATCTTTTAGGATGTCAGTATTTTTTTCTTCTTCTTTCTCCATGGTATGTCGGCTCTGTGGCTAAGTCGATGCGAACGCTTCGGATGCCGGGATGCCGGGTTCGATTCCAGCTGCGGGCCATGGGCTTTGTGTTGGTTTCAACAGTGGTATCAAGAAATCGACTGTCCAGAAAGCAATGGCAAACTACTGGACGTAAATTTGCCTAGAAAAGCCACACAACAACCAGGGGCTGTTGCAGTTGGTTCTGCAACGTCCTGTAAAGGATACGCAGCTAACCTTATCCATGGTACTCTGATAATCTTTCTTCATTACTTCAGCTCAAGCACGCCTGTTTTATTCTTTAAAGGACTATTTGATAGTCTACGACTCACATCCGTACCTTGCGATAGGAAAGATGTATCCTCTCAAAATTTTGACTTTTATTTCCTTGCTTGTGCTTAACCATAAATCTTTAATGCTGTTTAATATTTGTAATTTGGCCAGCCTCCTTGTGACCTCTATGAAACACTTTCTATTGCTGTTGATTCAACATTCTGTCACTTATATTGACATATGTATGTGTATATAGTTTTTTTTTTCTCTCACACCATTGTTTTAAGTTTCTCAAGATAAAACTACATTTATTACCACTTTCTAGTCTTTAGGACTTTGTTTATTTTCAGCCATTCTTGCCTCAATGTCTGCTTGTTTGTGTTTGAGTTTTTTTTTTAAATGTATGTTTACTCTGTCTCATGTTCATTAGTTTTATTCTTTAGCCACTGTGGCTTTTAAAATGGCTAAAGTATTTCAGTTTCTAATTCATCATGATGTTAATGGATCAGTGTCTCGATTTTCACATCTTGCATAATGTCCGTTTCTATATTTCTTTACATTCTACTCGATTTATCAACTCATAATTTTAAGAATTATTTAGTAGCATTTAACTTCCAAAGCTCAGATTTTCTTCTTTAGGGAATGCAAAATGATCCACCATTCACATCTGCATGTTGCTAGCTCACAACAAAAGAAAAGATGCATGTTTGCCATTACTTTGTCCTATCATCAGTTTCAAGTTCTGCCTTTAAGCACTGTGGGGAGGAATAGTTTGCGATAAATTGCTAGATGGGCAGCAATGGCTGTTGTCATTCTGTGTCAGTGTAGAAGCTCTTGAATGTCGCAACCGACAGAGAACACCTTCTGCATGGGGCCTTAGGGGATAGCAAGGGACAACTGCTGAAAAGAGGTGGCTCTTGGATGGTACAGGTAGAAGTCATGATCAGAACTGTTTGTGCTATTGACAAGATAGCGCGTGGGGAAGAATGGGTTACAGTGCCGTCCAGCAAAATAGATTTGCATAGAGTAATGGTTACATTGGACTGAGGGTGCCGGTATTGGAAAGCTGGTGAAACAGTTGGCGGTGCAAGAGCTGATCAGTAAAAAGAGTTTCTGGAAGATATTCAACTTTAAAGCGGAAACAGAGACAGACATTTAATCAGGTGTTAGCTGGAACTACAAGCATGTTACCACTTCACTGGTTAATGAAGAATGGGACGGAGCATGTGTGGCAATGTCCCACTGGCAGTGATGTTAGTTTTTGATTTAGTCATTCAGTGTCATCATTCCATATTCTCCTAGGGCGACCTCTTGTTTTCACATCAATCAATCAATCAGGTGCCGTCTCCACAATGAAGGTTGGCTGCAATGGATCTCCAACAAGCCCTGTCTCTTGCCCTTGATGTACACTCACTCATACTGCTGTGTCCATCTCTTGATGTTATCCTCCCACTTGTAACGCTGTCTGCCTCTTGCTCGCCTACCTTGAACCTTTCCCTCTAGGATGATTTTTACAATGTTGTTATGTCTTTTAATGTGGCCAAAATATTTCACTTGTCTCTTTTTTATTTCACCCAGCAACTCTCTTTTCATTCCCAATTTCCTCAGTACCTCTGTTTTGATAGCTTTTGTTTCCATGAAATACACATCAGACCTGAACGTATGTAGCAACAGCATTGATATGTGTTCTTGCTGCATTATTAGTAGATGTCCAAACCAAATAGATCCTTACGGTCTGAGGAGAATGGTGCCGACGCTCAACACTCAAGGGAAAGGCGAGACAGATATACAGTCAGACAGTTACTGGTGCCATCGGAATTGAAACTCTTCGTTGGCTGCTGAAGATGGGGACAAGCACTTATGGGAGTGCCCTGAGTACTATGATATTGATTCCTAACTGAACACTGAACATTCAACAAACCATTTTCTCTGTGTTTCTCAGTGAATTTCCTGCATGGTGTAATTCCTGCATCTGTGTGAAATATCATGTCTAACTTTGTCTCACTTAGTAAAGTTGGCAGTTTTTCTCAGACATCTTACCATAGGATGGTAATTGATGCTTTAAAAAAATTATAATATATATGTCAAAAGATTCCCTTGTACACACTACAGGTTCACCTGTGCGAAGCCCTCCACCCAGATGATCTTATGGTGGATGAGTACCTACTCAACCGCTCCTTGCCCCGGACTCCTCTTCTAGTTGCTGTCAAGATGCTCAGACCTAATGCTGATGACAGAGCAAGGTCAGCAAACAATATCATTTTATTTTTTATAAGATCACAAATTAGACCTCCAAATGTATATATAAGGCGCACTTGATAAAGGTATAATGAATTTAGGTGGATAATTATGAATTCAGGTGGCCAGATTTACTTTTCTCCACCTTTTTTCAAAGTGTGATCTTATTGTTGTCTCAAACAAGCCATCCATTGTCTTCAGCTATTGTTCAGGCATGTAAGGCTAGGATTTATTTGTGTGGACTTGTGGGTCAGGTACAATCAGTAGCAAACACATTTTTAAAACTGGTTCAGAAGATGTCAAAATGTATACAGAAATCAGACAGCAGTATATAATACAGACAAGCAGGAAGACCATAATGAAAATACTCAGGAATAGCAGAAAGAGCTGGGTGAACAGGAGGAATAATCCTGGCAATCATGACCTTAGGCTTCCTTCACAGAGAGCGTGACGAAGATGAAGAGGCTGAAACATGGAAAGAGACTTTTCTAATAATGAGAAGCATGCTCAGAAGCACTTGAATTTTATACTTATGTATTTTTTTCCTGTCCTTATTCCTTGGTGGAAACTGCGGTGGTGTACTGGCTAGACACTTGCCTGCGTGTCTGAAGGTCATGGGTTCAGGTCGTGATGCAGCCGGACTTTTTGTCAAAGATGACCCAGGCTCCCAGGTCGATCCAACCTGAAATGGGTGCCAGGCAGTCCTGGGAAGTAGAGGTGGCCGGCATGATGCTGATTCATCTGTTAATAAAGGTCTAGCCCTATTTGCCTAGTAAACCTGAAGATGTGGAAAAGGGTTATTTACTTTGTCCTTGCCATGGTCAGTTCATACCATTGCATCTCTGTCTTGTCACTGTTTCTGAGAGCTTCATATCTTCCAGCATATTAAGTGACGATAAGAAGGTCTTTTTCGGTTGTTATGGTCCTTGTGTGATGTACTCAGGATCTATTTTATACAGCAAGCTAAATATTTATTGCATGTTTATTCTTTTCTTTCTTCTAAGGGCTGACTTTCATAAAGAAATCAAAATCATGTCTCAGCTGAAGGACATCAACATTGTTCGTGTCCTTGGAGTCAGCACACAAGAAGAGCCCTTGTGTATGGTGGTGGAGTATATGAAGTATGGAGATTTAAACCGATTCCTTATCGACCATGAGCCAGAAGGTCCACTGGCTCCACCTGGAAAAACTTTGAGGCAAGTGGTTTTCTGTGGGTTTTCTGTGGGTTTTCTTTGCTATAATAACAAACATGATCACATTGGAGAGAGAGAGAGAGGTGGGGGGGAGGGGGGGGGGATGAGACATCTCCGTATTGTAGGTTCTTGGATATTATTGTGAGGGGGAAAATGAAAAGACCCATGGGCCCCCGCTAACAAGCATGTCCTAAAAGTCAAATTATTAGGGACATTTGCTTTGACGTTGGAGTGCATCTCTGAGAGGCAAGGAACCAACAGTTTGCATACAGATAAGTCAGATCTGAAAAACAGGTTTGCATACAAAAGTAAAGTTCTGGAACAAGATCAAAGTCAAAAAGATGGACAAACAATCAGAACTTTTCTCCGGAGTTTACAGCCAATCAATGCTAAGAATAAGAGGAAGCACCAGCCCTTTGTAGTCTGTGATTGGTTGGATTTTGTGGGTAAGATTATCAGCATGGCAGTATAACCAATCTTACTCTAATAATTTTTTTATTTTTTTGTGGGCAACATTCATGGAAGATTACAGTGGTACTATTCGGTGCTTTCTATTTTTTTTTTTTTTTTGGCACTGTTAGATTACACCCATCAACCCATCTGTTTTTTCCTCCGGAGGTTTGTTCACCCCTGAGCATTCAGATTTAATAACATAACCCTTGACCCGCAAGGGTTGTGGAGGTAAACTGTATCGATGGAAGCACTTGCACACAAAACCTACCATCTTTCTCTGTCTTTCCGCTTCTCTGTCTAGTTGGTTACTTCAGGTGTTTGTAGGTCTGCCTGTATATTATCTTTCTAACTTTTCTGGGTCTGCCTCACATGGTCTTCTGCATCTGACCCCTTCTTGGTATGCTGTTTAAAGTTACCTGCCTTTCCATCTGTATGCCCAACATGGCAGTATATTAGCTTCTGACTGGAAGAATATAGTTTCGTCGCCCAGCTTCTGAGTTGAATGCATGGCATGACACTGTGAGCTACATGTTTTTTTTTTGGCACAGGAGCGGAGCAACTATGGGGTGACCCGTTTGCTATGAAGCTGAAACTAGGATTACCAAATTACCAGATTACCAGATATTAGCTTCAATGATGCTAGCAGTTAGTGCTCATTGAAACAGATTTTAAGTTACGTTGTTGGTTTTCACACTCGATTCTTTACTTTGTGCATCTATGATGGGTTAAAAGGTTTCAAAGATGAAGATACAAGTTAGAAATTGTGAGGGCCCTTTGGGAGCGAGTAAACAGTGCAGAGGCGCAGATAGATCATACGGTCTAAGGAGAATGGCGCTGCGAGGAGTTACCAGGGGATCTGGCCAATGCTCAACACTCTGCGTAAGCATGAGACAGATATACAGTCACACAGTTACTGGTACCATCGGAATTGGAACTCTTCGTTTGCTGCTGAGGATGAGGACTGGGCACTTATGGGAGTGTCCCGAGTGTTGTGATGTTGATTCTAAATTCAGCATTCAACATTAAAAGACAAAGATTGCTCCAAATAATTTTATTGTTTATTTCTTACATTTTCTTGTAATTCTGAATGTTTATATTTTGCTATTTTTATTATTTCTGATATTTTACAGTTACGGTTGTCTGATCTACATGGCTTCTCAAATTTCATCGGGTATGAAGTATTTAGAATCACTGAACATGGTTCACCGTGACTTGGCCACCAGGAATTGCCTGGTCGGACACCACTTCCTCATCAAGATTTCAGACTTTGGCATGAGCCGTAGCTTGTACAGCTCTGACTACTACAGAATCGAAGGGAGGGCTGTGCTGCCCATCAGATGGATGGCATGGGAGAGTATTTTACTGGTGAGTTATGGGACTTGTACATATTTTATTTTAAGGGATCCTTTAATGCACAGGGGGGCTCAGAAATATTATTATCATGATTATTATTATTATTTTTATTATTATTTACATTAAGTAATCTCTTTATGTTGTGAAAAGCACAGGGTGACTCAGAAATATGATTATCATTATTATTATTAGCATTGTTTGTTTGTTTGTTTTAGTATCCAGAAGCCATGAGTTGTTAACCCTTAGGCTCGGTATTATGGATATCACAACCTTTCGGTCTTGATTCCATTGTAAATACCATAAATCTGGGAGAAAATGTGGCTTTTCTGCCTACCCCCAGGAGTGAACCCAGACCACAAGGAGCTCGACACCCGGTCACCATGCAGTCCGGTTTAGCCAACTACGCTAGAGAGCCGGGTATTATTAGCATTCAACAGTTGTGAACTCCTGCTGAAAGATTTGGTTGTTCATCCACTTCTGGACTTTGGTCTTGATCCAGAACCTGTTTTGTGTGCACATCCGTTTTATAAATCTGGCTTATTTCTATACACTCTGTTTCTCACCTCTCAGGCATATGCACTTCAGCTTTGCAGAAAATAAATATCATCATCATCCTCTTGTGCTGTTGTATGTCATACAGAGCTCCTAGTTCATTCTTCAATTACATTCTTTCCTGTGCAACTGTTTCAGTATTCAGTCCAAAAAAGATATAAAACAGAACGAAAAGTATATCAGCAAGCTTCACAATATAACGAACACACAAAAAACGTGAACGTTGCGACTATGGAGCCTTCATCAGCACATACATTAATAAAACAAAACCACACAAAATCACTTAGTGTATCAAAGTGGCCAGGTCGATGTTTTGTCAGTTCATTCCCCTAGGATTTAGATGAAACTGTGTTGGCAGTTCAGTCTTCTAAGTTTCAAAGTGCCCAAGTATCCAGTCCAGCACCGCTGGCCTCCCTCATCAGTGTTCATCTTGTTGGGGTCTTCTTTTGTGCATTTTTATCTGCTCAGTCCATTTGCTTTTCATCTAAATGCCTGTTTGAGGATTCTCTGTTTGCTTCTCCTAAGGATGTCCCCAATACATTTAGCATGTAATCAGATTGTCACTGATTGCTTTCTGATACATGCACACTAGAATTGAAATTCTTTCTCAGTCAGTGTTTTCAGCATGTTGATGTCTCACAGTTTTTGAGTAAATGCTTTATCCTTTCTTTTGTAATCTGGAGAAACGGACTGTAATGGGGAACCCTTGGAAACTTGCTGACGTGCCGGTTCATGGAGACAACAAAACCGAAAACCAGCGCTTATGAAAATGATCACAAAGAAGAAGACAAAGACTGCATTTATTTGTAAACATGTAGCCGCATTTCTTATTCACCCTGTCTATAGTATTCACACACACAAAATTTGTGTTCCTGATTATACTAATTTGTAGATAAAATACACTATCAGAGCATGTTTCTAAATACATTCTTTGCAGAGAAATTCACTGCCAGAAGTGATGTTTCTTATTGTGTTCTCTTTAGGACAATTCACCAATAAAAGTGGTATTTCTGATTTTTTTTCCTTCAAGGGAAATTCATCATAAGTGATGTTCTGTTTTCATTTTCAAAGAAAATGCACAATTCATTATATTTTTTTTTTAGTGAAAACAACATTAAAAGTGATGTTTTTTTTTACTATTTCATTTAAGGAAAATTTATCACTAAAATGGATATTTTTGATTTTGTTCTATTTTTTGAAAAATTCAACATTAAAATTTATGTTTCGGTTTTCTTTTAAAATATTATATTTATGAAAAATTCACATGAAAAGTAGTGGTTTTTTAAATTCTGTTTAGGGATCTTTTCTATTTAGTGAAAATTCACCACTAAGTGATGTTTCTTTTTTTTTTTTTTTTTTAGGGAAAATTCACCACCAAAAGTGATGTGTGGTCATTTGCTGTCACTCTGTGGGAGGTTCTGACATTTGCTCGTGAGCAGCCATTCATCTCTCTCACTGACGAACAAGTCATCGAAAACGCTGGTCACTGTTACCGGGACGACCATCTGCAGGCTGTGCTGCCCATGCCGGTCAACTGCCCAAAAGAGATCTACGACCTGATGTGTGAGTGCTGGAATCGCCAAGAAAGTGTGCGACCAACTTTCAGGGAGGTGCATATGTTTTTACAGAGAAAAAACATGGGTTACAACCCAGCAGATGAGAAACTGAGTCAAATAACCATTCCAATTTGCTGATTGAAGAAAAAGAAAAAAAGACCACTGGAAAACAGTCCAGTTTTCTGATAAAATGAATGCTACTTAACAATCAAACAGCAAGTCTTACATGAAAGCAGTGAATATAGTCAATTTGGACTTCCATAATAGACATGCTGCTTAAATATAGTCATTTCCAGACTAGTCATTTTAAGTCAATTCTGACATGTTGGACAATCATAGATTTGATTTTCATCAGTTCTGGATTGTGTAAGAACTGTAATATTTGGTGGTTATGGTCCTTTGTGACTAAAATTGGCAAAAGTAAAATTTGATAGTTAACAACAATAGATCAGAATAGTAGATCTTATGTGTTTAACAGTGATACTTTTTCAGTAATGGTCCTTAGTAATTTATTAGATAGCCATACTATTTGATAAACTTCAGTTATGGCTTGGACAGATGTAGTATTTGATAATGGTTAAAAGTGGGTTGTTGAACAGTCTTAATGTTTGATAACGGTCAATTCTGGCTTGGTGGATGGTGAAAGTAATTGAGGTTGTTGTCAACTAAGGTTGACTGAATTGTCATAGTTGATTAAAATACATTACATTATGGCTTTTTTTTATATTTTACATATACTGTTTGAACTGTATTACTGATCAGTCATAGTGTTTTATAAGGGTTAATTCTGACATGTAGAACAACCGTAATATTTGAATCAATTATGATTTGTTGGACATAGTACTTAAAGATTACATGTTCATGGTTGTATATCAAAGGCTATACAGGTGAAAGATCAAAGACAGTACAGGTGAAATGTCAAAGAAATACAGGAGAAAGATCAAAGACAGTACAGGTGATTTATAAAGTGATACATTACAAGTTGTATTACTTGATAAACTACTCCATGGGAAAAAGTGATAAATTTCTGTATTGTTTGATATAGTGATTCATGAGGAAAGATGTATTACTTGATATAGTGATTCATGGGGAAAGATGTATTACTTAATAAAGTGGTTCAGGGGAAAGTAAAACCAGAGATATTACTTAATTAAGTGATACATTAAAGTTACCTTACCTGATAATGTGATTTAGATCAAACCAAATGGATAAAATCATCATCATCATCATAAACCACTTCTGCCATTAAGCGTCGTGGGGAGGAATAATTTGCAACGTATGTAAAAATAAATTGTATTCCTATTTGCCTAGAAAAACCACAACAGCCAAAAAATGCTGGGGTTGGTTTTGCAACGTCCTGTAAAGGATACGCAACTAATGAACGAGTATTCCTTGGTAATCATTGAAGAAAAGCTGATCACACATGATGCACTGTTTGGGACATTAAGACTTCACACTTGACCAAACTTATATGCACCAGGATGTACATAATATTTATTACACTAGAGCAAGCATCTGAAATGTGACATGATATAATGTGTGAACTTCTGTTGTATATGACACTACATTGACTTAAACAGTGTCATTTGTAGAGGATGGCACATTAAATTTAACAGTGTCATTTGTAAAGGATAGCACATTAACTTTAACAGTGTCATTTGTAGAGGATGGTGCACATTAAATTTAACAGTGTCATTTGTAGAGGATGGTGCACATTAAATTTAACAGTGTCGTTTGTAGAGGATAGCACATTTACTTTAACAGTGTCATTTATAGTAAAAAAATGTAAAGATCCCTTTTCATGCCTTTCGGCCATCGGGCATATGGGCAGAGCGTCCCATATTTTTACAGACCATCAGCACTCTGTGGGTAATGTGGTCAGCATTACGCCGGCTGTCTCTACTTTCCCAGGACAGCCTATCCTGGTACCCGTTTTAGGCTGGGTCGACCTGCGACGTCCCATACCACGATAAAAATCCACGCAGCCTGCAGTGGGTTTCGATCGCGGTATGCTGGCTTACGAGTCGGACTCGCAACGCCTTAGCCACGGACGCCGCCATTTATAGTAGATGGCACAAATTAACTTTAGAGTGTCATTTGTAGAGGAGAGCACATTTACTTTAACAGTGTCATTTGTAGAGGATGGCACACGTTAGCTTTAACAGTGTCATTTGTAGAGGATGGCACATTAACTTTAACAGTGTCATTTGTAGTGGATGGCACATTAAATTTAACAGTGTCGTTTGTAGAGGATGGTATAATAAATTTAACAGTGTCATTTGTAGAGGATGGTATAATAAATTTAACAGTGTCATTTGTAGTGGATGGCACATTTACTTTAACAGTGTCATTTGTAGTGGATGGCACATATTAACTTTAACAGTGTCATTTGTAGAGGATGGTATAATAAATTTAACAGTGTCATCATGAATCAGATCAGGAAGAAATGTCTTTAGCCTGGAGAATTCATTGTCAGCTATCTCGGGTTATGTTTGTCTAGTTTGCTATTGAATATTACTGAAATGTTCTAGGTCGAAATGGGAGTACTACAATTGCGAAAAATGCAGTCTAAAAATGGCACTATCATTACTGTGTTTGTTTCCTTGCACAAACTATGGGTACTGTGAGCATTTGATCATTCTGACTTGGCAGTTTTAACTGATGTAAAGGCCAAAGTCTCCATTTACCTAATATTTGTTGACTACAATTTACAATACATCATAATGGGTTACATGGCCATATATTGATGTTATGATACAAGGAGATGATATTTGATATTACTTTATCTACACGAGATGTCAATGTATATGGAAAACATATTTATGCTGTCTCTGTCCTAGTCAGTATGTGAGAAGGCAAGAGTGGTTTTACTTACATGGATGTTTGTTTAGGTTGTGGATAGCAAGATTTCTTCTTCAGAGTTTAATTTTTTATAAATTGTTTAGGTGGAATAAACTTCTGTTTGATACAGCAGTTAATGTCATCAACTTTTCTGTTTCCACTTTTTTTTTTTAAACTCTTTCAATTCTAACAAATTATTGATTATTTCCCTGTGTGGGTTCCGGGTTCCCATTTAAGGGGGGGAAAAGAAAAGATCCACTGCCCCCTTGTAAGCATTTTTAATGAGAAGTTGTGAGATCTACGTGAGGTGCATGATTGTTTGAGAGTATTTTTTGAGGTAAAATTATGTGTTCAGATTTTTACTTTACAAAATGTGTTCCTCTTGTATTACTCCAGATGATTATCTTGTATGTATTTTATTTAAATCCTAGAAAATAGATTTCTTTGTCATTATTTGAAATGTTTTAATAAGAGATACAATGGCGTAATTGTTAGTGCACTTTTTTGTTAACAAAATGGTGCTGGTTCAACCCCTATTGTGGCAGGAATGGTCCCTATCAGTACAGCTCAGAGAAAGGCCAGTCTTATAAAAAGAGAAAGGCCAGTCTTATAAAAAGAGAAAGGCCAGTCTTATAAAATGTGATAAGTTTCGGAAGTTTCTGGAAATTGTCTGGGAAAAATCAATAAGGAAGACATGGAGTCACTCTACCTCATTATGTCATAAACTAGTAAATGTGAAACCTCAATACTTCATACCTCAGTGTCATGAGCATAAGTACCTAGAGCACAAGGGGGACGGTCAACAGGATGGAAAGATAACAGATCAACTCTGCAACAGTGTAATGTGTCTGTGGTTGGGATGGCCAGAAGAAGGAGGAGCAGAACCTTATATCTCCATTGACGTTCGAAGCAGTAAATGATAAAGTGTGAAAAATGAAGATCCCTTGGCTTAAAAAAAAATTAAAAAATATTAAGTTATCTTTATCAATGCTTTTTTTTGTGTTATCACTTTTATCAGTGACACCTCATTATGTCACAGGCTAGTGTAAATCATCTGCCACTAGGTCAGTGGTTGGCAAATCATGGCTCGCAAGTCGCATGCAGTTCTTTGGTGACCTGAGTGTGGCTAGGCCAGTCGGCAACAAATCGGTTTTGACTGAAAAAACATGGTTCTTAGTAGGTTTTTGAAAAGAAATTTAGCTTTGAAAAAATGTTTGATGTCCTCATGCTGATTTTTTTAAATAGCTTTTTTGACCATTGAGTTTGTTAACCACGGCACTAGGTCATAACATATTCTTCTTCTTCTGTGCTTGTCCAAAGACGTAAAAATGTTGTGCAACATAGCTGCAATTTTTGCGCTTTTCAGCTAACACATCCAACTTCTGATATGGATATGCCTATGGTATCTGGCCAGGCCGTGAATTATTAAAAAGGATTTAGTCACACACAAAAAGCAGTAACCAGAAGAAGTTAATTAACAGTACGTTGAAGCATTCATTTGTTGGCATTTGGATTGAAATACGCCCTGGCTAACTCCTGATTTTTCACTTCTCTCTTTGATGTTATATATGAGTATTTAAAGTTGTGTTTGAAGCTCTAGGTCTGCAATTTTGTCATCTGCAATTGTATCTAAGACTGTCAGTCTATGATTGTGTTTAGAATAATGGCTGAGACTCTGAGATTCTAAATTTAAAATAATGAATGAGACTTTCTGAGATTCTACATTTAAAATAATGGCTGAGACTCTGAGATTCTACATTTAAAATAATGTCTGAGACTTTCTGAGATTCTAAATTTAAAATAATGGCTGAGACTTTCTGAGATTCTAAATTTAAAATAATGGCTGAGACTATGAGGTTTTACATTAAAAATAATGTCTGAGACTCTGAGATTCTACATTTAAAATAATGGCTGAGACTCTGAGTTTCTACATTTAAAATAATGGCTAAGATTCTACATTTAAAATAATGACTGAGACTCTCTGAGATTCTACATAAAATAATGGATGAGACTGAGATTCTACATTTAAAATAATGGCTGAGATTCTACATAAAATAATGTCTGAGATTCTACATTTAAAATAATGGCTGAGACTCTCTGAGATTCTAAATTTAAAATAATGGATGAGACTCTGAGATTCTATATTTAAAATAATGAATGAGACTTTCTGAGATTCTACATTTAAAATAATGGCTGAGACTCTGAGATTCTACATTTAAAATAATGTCTGAGACTTTCTGAGATTCTAAATTTAAAATAATGGCTGAGACTTTCTGAGATTCTAAATTTAAAATAAT